AAAATATTGCTTTTGTCTACACAAGTTGTGTCGCCCACATAAGAATGGACGGCACGTAAATGCTAATTTGCAGACTTGGTTCTTTTCAATTTACCATCAGGGGCTCTGTTGGGAAATTCGGTGGTCACTTTACTACAATCCTTAGGGAACAACTTGAGCTGAGATCTCGCCCAGCACCTGAAAATAAAACTCTGCAGGTGATCTCCTCCAAAAAGAAAGAAGAAAACAAAAAAAATAAAAAGCTGTTGGAGGGAGAAGATGTGAAAAGAAAAAGGAGAAAAGCCTTTAAAATTTTTAAGCAGGTTTATCTGTTGTTTCACCAAAGCAGCACAGTGTTCTATCTAACTTTCCAAAGGGCCTCCCAACCTCCTTACCCCTCAGTGTGCAAGCTGCTTTGTTATCAAAGCTCTGTTCTGTAAAGGCCACTTTTTTAGCAGCAACTTAATGCCTTTAAACTCTTTTCTGTAACTTCAGCGTTTGTTTCTCAGAGCAGTCATTAAAGCTGGGCACTCCGAGGCTGATGGGCATACTAAGCTTGCCCACTTCGAACTAATTGCATTCAGTTTAACATTCTCCAAGCACTGACAGTCCTCATTCAAGCCAAGTGTGAAAGTTTTTAAATTAGTTTTCACAGTTTGATTCACAGACAGCAAATGCAAAATGACACAGGATTAATTTTTATTTTTTTTTTATTTTTTTTTCCCCAACAACACAGTGCAACAAAATAGCCCAAAGGCTATTTTAGTTCATTCGGTTCAACTATTAGGGAAGATGCACAGCACAGAGAATGCTCTAACTGAGACAAAGGCTCCGGAGGGCTTTCGAGGCTTAATACTGCCCCGTTAATGAGAGTACCAAACATTTGCACAGCCTTTCCACTTCACCACTAGATGTTAAAATGGAAGTCCAGACCATTTCAGATCAGTCAAATTGATTACTGCTTAAAATATTATCATTTTTTTAATATTTAATACAATCTGGTATTGGACTGTAAAACGGCCAACATAGAAATCCATGCTCTCAGGAAAGTACAAATCATGGTTTTGCATATAATCTGACTCTTGATCAGTCTACACATATTTGTTGAGATAGATGTTAAAAAGCAAGCCAGAAGACTGAATTGTTGATTGCAAAAATGATTCGTTAGCACACAGAATCATTAAGGTTGGAAAAGACCTCTAAGACCATCCAGTCCAAACTCCAACAACACGGCAGAACAGGACAGGAATTTGGTTTCCTTGGCACTTCTCGTTTTTCCAGTGATTACAGCTAAGTGCATGCACTGAACTTACACAGTCAGCTTTCTCAGCAGGCACAGTCCCTCCAGAAGGCTTTCAAGTGTGCAAATGTCCATCTGAGCAACTACAGAGGCATGTATGAGCCACAGCCTTCATTACAAAGAAAAAACATACAGCCAAAAACAAGCCAAGTAATTTCAGTCTTTATTTTTGTTATCATCGGGAGAGTTTATAAGGTCTGTAACACACAACCACTCTAACCTGAATATTTTCTCATATGCTATTAACTAACAAATGCAATCTAATTTAACAACCTAACAGCTGTATAGATAGCAGTTACTCACATCACAGATGGAAACTATCCTGTAGTGTGAGTGGTATTGCTACCAAAGTACTAAATACAAATTTTCTGCATGCACAGATGGAGTCCAGCTTCAAGTTCCAGATTTGACATAACCCAGGACATGCAGGTCACAGCTAGAAAAACAGAATAAGTCAAGTGCCCATTTCTAAATGTCAAAACACTATTCTCTGAGGCTGACATAAATTGGGCACTTCTTTAAAGGATTCAGAAAACTGATTTCAAATACCAACCTCACTTTAAAGGCATCTTCTATTCTGTGCTTCCAAGTTACACGCTTGCATTACAATGACCACAAACAGCATCTTATTTTATAAAAAGGACATATTTGGCATCTTTCTTAAATCTGAAAAACAGAACCTACAGAATCACAGAATGGCCTGGGTTGGAAGGGACCTCAAGGATCATGAATTTCCAAGCCCCCGCCGCAGGCAGGGCCACCAACCTCCACATTTAATACCAGACCAGGCTGCCCAGGGCCCCATCCAACTTGGCCTTGGACACCTCCAGGGATGGACGGGGCATCACAGCCTCTCTGGGCAGCTGTTCAGCACCTCACCACTCTCTCTGCAAAGAACTTCCCCCTGACCAAGCACTTGGCAGAATCCCATGATAGCATCACCACAAGCAAGACATGCGATGCACACACCAGCGTAGTTTCAGTAGGCGCTCCATTTTATGAAACATTTTCTTCCAAGTGTTCTCACAACTAACTTCCCAAACAGCTTTATCAGCTCAGATGGTAAATAAATACAGGTTATTTCATAGCTAAACTCGTCAGAAACTGCAAAAGGGATACAATCCAATCGTTACTGAAAGTAATGAATACACTTTTCTGGTCATTTCATGCCAGGTGCTAACAGACATCCGAATCACTAAACAACACATTCACAAGACATCATATGCATGTGAATATTTACACTTAAGAATTCCCCCAACTGTAAATGCCACAGTATTACTAATTAGTCATGACCATGATAGTCTTTCAGAAAATTATCTTCTCTTAAACAAATAAGATTATGAAAGAATCTTGGGTTTGGTGAGAATGAATGGTCAAGAGATTCTAGAGCCACTCACTTACAGGTTACTAATCTCACTGCTTTGTCTTGGCAGTCATTGTATGTTGTTCCAGCTAACAGCCATACAATGCATGAAACGAGTCTGTGATCCAGTTTGTACCCCAATTTGCCAGTGTCCCCTAACGCAGCTAATGCTGTAATTGGCAATTCCAAAGCAGGGACAGAGCACTCAGTGGGCCCGAAATGTAAATAAGTTCATGTAGAATCACTGCACAACACTCCACAATACTCTGCCATGAGTAAGCATTACATATATAGGCTATGCAGTCGTTCAGTGAAGTACAGTACGTAATCTGACACATATTGTAGGCACTGGGATTCCAACATAGAGAACAGAGCACATAAATGACAGATGCACAGCCAAATTTCTTACGGTCATTTGACAATCTCAGCCAGTGTATTTCTGCTTCTGGAAATCCATACATATTTTAATTTCAAGAAACTAATTAATGCCAATCTCTACCAAACGTGCTGATAAAAGATACTCCCTGTAAAAGCATTGATTCCATCTGAAAAGCTGCATGCACTCTAGACTAGCACAAAGCACAGGCATTCCCCTTCCACGGCTACTGATAAAACACACAGCTGTAAGCAGCTGCAAAGAACAGATTAATTTTTTTTTCCCCCAGTACAGATATTGGCATTAGCTGGAGGAAATGAGCATGCAGTTTCATCATGATGTTGGTTATTCTTTGGGGACCTCAGAGGACGTAACTGAATCCTGATGTTAGGGACTGAGGACCAAAACAACCAACTTGCATATGAAAGCCATTTTGAAGTGCACTAGAGGCAGCAGGCACAATATACCATACACGTGTATATGTTTCATCTGCTTTAGTACTTTTTTTCCTCCTCCCATTGCTTATTTTACATTTAGATCTTTAAGCTCTTCAGATCCACCTTGTCTTCTCTGTGCACAGTAGGATACGGACCTGAAAGGGACCAGCAGGGACCTTGTTCTGCTATATACTGCAACAAAACTGAATAGAATAGCACTTCAGACAGTAATCCAGGATCCGTCCCAGTGTATAATTCCTTCATCGTTACATTAAATCATGTTTGCCACCAACTACCTTGTACTAATGGGTGCATAAAGCTATTCTGCACCTGTCAATTGCCAAGGCATCTGTGCAAACACAATGAAATGGGAAGAAGTGAAGCAAGGAACCCTGCAGCCAAAAATAAACATGAATCAATACAAATAAAACTTAAGCACTTGGCAGGTATGGTTGACTTCTTGCTAAGTATAAATGGTATCAAGGCATATTTTAGCCCAATGCTACCTATGTTTAAATACACCAGTTTACATATTACTGAACAATATTCTAAATGTCTTAATGAAAATACTCGAGATGAAAGAACTTGTTGAGTTAGTTCTTCTTTCCAGGAACACAGAGCTACTTTTGTTTTCTCACTGGGCTCAGCTCTGTTTTACTTTGATGGCTCTGAGGGAATCATCAGTTCTGGCAGAAAATCTTCAGCTTTGCTTTGTGGCATTGCCAGTAGAAAGCAACAGTACAAATCCAAGAAGTGGAACTTCCATGTGATGTTACACTTGCACGAGTAGCTGTTATTGCCAGCTGCAGCAGTCAGAATATCAATTTACTCATTGTACAAATATTAAAAAGCCTGATATAAAAGGGAAGGCAGCCTTATCATTACCTGCTTGTTTTCATTTCAGAAAGCTGCCTTCCCTCACCTTCTTTAAGTATCTACTAACGTATTTTTTATTGGATTTTATCTTGAAAATTAATCATCATAAATTTGAAAACATTCTCTCGCAGATCTGTCAGTTTTGTAGAGCTACTTCATTTATTAGAGGACCACATGACGCATCAGAGCTCTATATTTGAACATGACATATTTTCACTTTGTTTTGATACCACATTTGAAAATTGTTCCTATCAATCTCTCGCTGGAGCCAAAACTTAACTGTCTTGTTCACTGAATCATTAAATGCCAAGTCACATAGACAAATAAAAGCATTTGCAAATTGATCTTCTGCATTTGCAGATGCAAATATTTGCAGAAGTTTCCTGTCGAAAGCATCTCTGGAAAAGAACCCACAAAAACGACGCGAGGCCTTGGCCAGTATCAAAGCCAATTATTCCTAACCATTCTGGTCATCAGTTCACACCAAGAGTTCCAACGCTTCATGAAAAGGCTGATTTTTAAGTAAAATTTCGTGTTTACAGTTCCCATTTCAGAGAAGCATTACAACTTCAGTGCATTTGCCAGACTCAGCTTACACATTAAGATCCACGATTTTCTGCATCGTTTGCCAGGAGAGAGGAAAAAAAACACAACAGGCCATATACTTACATTCCCCATAATGCATCATTTTCTCTCTAAATAGTGGCAGCAAACAGGCACATCCAATACTGTATTACTTTCTTCTCTCATTCATGACGATGTCACACACAGGTTCTTTGATTCTGAAAGAGAAGCATTTCCCAGGTTCTAAGGATAGAGGTACCCCAACCAATCCATCATGCTTTGTGCGCTAATGATAGACTCATGCATAAGAGGCACCAGAAGCAGCGAGAGGCAGCAGGCATGAAAAGGAGTGAATCAACTGTCAAGGGTTGTGATCTGAAGGACTGCAAGGCTGTGATTAGAATTTTCAATCAGGACTTCCACAATTCATCACGCTACAAGGCAAGGGGGGGGATGTATTTCTTCATCAGGCCTTCCTGCTGTGGGCATAGCGAGTTCCAAGGCACTAAAAAGGGGATATCTTAAAGCCTTATACTTACAAAAAAGGTACGATTGAATCTTTGGGGAGTGAAGGATTTTCTGGCACTGCGGTGCTACTACTTTTCGTATGCATACTGAAAACTGAAAGACGATTACTCGCAGCACAGCCTTTCAGCTGCTGGAAAAGAAAGGGCAGCTCTTCCTCCCTGTCCTCTTGCAGGCATGTTAATGTTGGACACCTGAGTGAGAAGGAGCCCTGGCAACTTTTGACTGCTTGTCCTAAGGGATATGAGAAGGAATAAAATGCAACAGGAATCCTTAATCAGAACTTGCCAATGCTCTCAGAAACTTCACAAGGAGGCAGGCAGAGCCCTCTGTGAGGAAAGCATTCTCTCAGCCTGTAGAAATCACCTGCAACACAACAAAATCTCCCAAACCTCCCCAAATGCCTTCCTGCTCCTTTCTCCCCTTCCTTCATCACAGTAATTGCATCAGCAAAACTCAGTGAGCTTTGTGAGGGGACGAAGGCTGCGTCCCAAAGCCTACATCCAGGCAAATCAAACACATGGAAATATACAAATAAAGCATTCTCTTAAAAGGCAATTTTCACGTTAAGCCATGAATAATGAAGTGTAAAGAGAGTCCTTGTTTGCATAATTAATGTTTCAGTTATTGATATTCCTTCAGAGGGTCACCAGCCTTTTTTTCTCCGAGTCAATTAATTAATAAAACAACTCTTTTTATGCAGGTAATTGCAACCAATTTAGTACTCAAAGGCAAGGCACGTAATATATCGGCTTTATTTATTTATTTAATGCTGCAACTGTCGTGACACAACGATCACTTGCAAACACAAACACTGAACGGATCCACTGAGCTCATGACTAGAAAGTCATCCTTTGAAACTAACAGAAAAGAAGCAGATGAACTATGGGCAAACACGGCAACATAGGTCAGACTACCTCGTGTCCTTTCACCACAGCAGTCATGTTTTCCTTAACGTAGATCTCAGCTTCCTTCCATTCCTAATCCACCCAAAATCCAACCTCAACAGCCAGTTTAGAGACACCTTCCATCAGATCTCTTGTTAATGTGGGAGAATGTCAGGATTAACCATTTTATCACATCATATTCTTAAAGCACCTGTATGACTTGTGCTTACAAAACTTTTTGACTCTTGCTATCTACAGCAACACCCCTTCCTTCCAACAAGAGCCTTCATGAGAAGGTTGCTGGGCTGCCCTCTGACAGCAGTGCCAGACATCCCTACAGAAGTGATTCTTTGCTGCTAAAGTTTCATCTAAAATACATCTTTTATGGTGAGATCTAAAAAAGGAGAAAGAAATGGAAGATAGCAACATTGGAGTATGGACACCACCGACCAGCTGATAACCAAAGAGCTCCTACTGTTCTGATATTTCCACATCTGAAAACATCTGTTGTCACTTTTATTAAGCATTCTGTAACAAGGATCTGTTTTCCTATTTCATACACTGCTTAGCACCACTGGGGAAAACTGAAGGAAATGGAGGGGCTCAATCCTCTTCTGTAATTCTGGGGAATGGCTCTGCAATATAAATTATAAATGCTACTACTTGTTTTATGTACTCATCTGCATTTCATCAGCTGCTAAAACCTTGCAAATACTCCAGACACCGTCAAGAATCACTTCAAGCTTTACAGACTGCAAATCTCAAATCTGATCTCTATCTCTGAGATTAGAACAAAATGTGAACTAACCAAGAATTGAAAGAAAATGGAAATAGATACTGTAGGAAAAGCACATTCCAGACTTGCAAATCCTCTCTTTCATATAATCCTTGCGCATAATCTTTCAGGGGCTGTTCTGATGTTTCCCTTGGCCAGTGGTTTTAACCACTGCAGATCCTTTTAGCCGGTGCTCGGTTGTGTATTCAAGTGGTTGCTCTAGAAAACAGTATTCAAAACGTGCAGCAGCGAGGAATGCAGCCACAAAGCAGATTACGAATAAAACACTCAGATATTCTGTTCCACATTTCAGTAATTACTCGCAGCCAAGGTGCTAATAGAGAGCTGCTCCTTCAGTGTCTCACTTCGAAGGGATCGATGCAGTGCAAACACAGGCACTGCAGGGCTTAATGCAGATCCTAACTGCTTCTTATAAGACAAGGTTCTTCTCGACAGCTTTCTCCTGGGCAAAGAAGAGCCAGCTAAATAGTTGCTATTAGTGTATATTTGTGTCTTTTTGTCAAAAATCATACTTAATAAACACAAAGAACCTGTAGTGGAAAGATCCAGGAGAAGATAGAAATGAATTTCCAGACTAACAAAGCCCTGTTAAATCAAGTTAGCAATTTTATCCCTGGGGATAACAATTTGGCTTGCAGCAGTGGGCTAAATAACACAGTTCAACACATTAAGAACAAATCCGTATTCAGACTAAATGGACTGTCAGCTCAGAAAAAGGGCAGGAGGGAAAAGAAATGCTGCAGGACCTCTGCTGCCTGCCCAGAGCACATTTTCTTCCTTCTTTTTCCAGGATTATCACAAGCATACATCCACCAACAGAGTTTGCAAAGCTCTTGAGAAAAAAAAAAAAGACACAAACAGACTGAAGACGTGCCTTAATGAATGCCATCAAAATAAACATCAGTTGATCTGGATGCAGCAACATGCCTAAATCACCCAGAAATCCACATCACGAGGATTTTCCAGCCAACCACTGCAACAACAGCCATGCTCATCACCTCATACCACAAACACATCATCTCATACCACAGACAACTTTCTTAGCGTGCATCCAGCAGCAAGTTGGAACATTCCTGCTCTGAGCATCAGGCTCATTGCCTTGCCTCTCCCCACCAGAGCAATTTCAGCTGTACAGTTTCCCTGGAGGTCAAGAAAAGTTTCTCTACTGTCAGCACCAAAAGCTTTACTGCAAGTAGACCTTTTTTATTTTAATGTATGCACTTAAGTCTGCGGAAAATGTGACTACATTTAATGAAATTGTTTGAAAACTTCAAGATTTCGGTTAGAAAAAGAACATGAAATACAAGGTAGGCTTTCTAGGGAATACCTCCCTAAGCCATCTCTTGATAGGTAGGAGATCTTCCAGTTGAGCACAGATTTTCAGTGGTCTCCAGAGATTTACAGGCTTACAAAGATCTAACATTCTATGCTCCCCCTTGCTTTTTCTCATTCTATATGCATTCAGATGGAATACAGAATTGGGCAAAAGATGCCCTAAAAAATACCATCTAATGCTGTCAAGTTTGCTACAGAATATCGCTTTGACTGCAAAAAAAGGACATTTTTCAGATTAAAATTTTGAGGTAAGTGAAAAAAAAATTGTTATGAAAGGACAAAGTTAAGCCTAGGGCAAAAATAGAGAAGAAATGTATAATTATGTGATTTCTATTATGTCAAAATTGGCCACAAAAACTTGAATGTATCTATTTCAGACACGTGCATGAATATTTTTATATAATATTCAACTAATGTTTTCACTCTCATTTTTGCTCTAGAACGTATAATTTGTATTCCAAAATCAATCACTTCTCACAGACATTCACACTACCTGCCCTATTCCAAACAGGATTTATTTGTTAGCCAAGGAGCATTCAACTTTAAACATTCTGCAATATCAGCACATAAATCACCCTGAACACAGCTAAAAACTTTGCAGCTGCATATATTAGCTGGGTAGGTGACGAAGAATTCCTAACACGCTGCATCTGAATTCCTCATATAACTTCTTTCGCAATGAAAACCCTGTAGCTAAACGGATTCCAGACTTATCCTTTATGCTGCCCTTACAGGACACGTCGGACATCCCAAGCTTCACAAAGGCTGCGTGCTGTGCAGACAAGACACGCTCCAGTGTTTTTATCTTCCTCAAGAACTATTTCAACTCTTATAGATGACCTCCGCAGCTTAACTGATGACTATTCAGTGCCTCAGTTACAAAAACAGCCATTCTCATTTCCTTTACACTCCTCCTCAAAGAAATAAATCAGCGTCTTGACTGATGGAAACATTTGGCTGCCAGTCATTGTGCTTTGTCCCCTTGCTGCTCCACGCCAGCCTGCATGAGCTCAAGAGATGCAGAGCAGTGATTAAATTCTAACATGCAGCACAGAGAGCAATAACTAAGTGAGTGGTTATAAACAAATAACACAGCTCTTCGTAACTCAGTAAAGCACATTATTTGATTTTGTGCATGGTTATGAAAGACAGTCAAAGCAGCAGTGCTTTTCCACTAATGCAACAGCATTATTGCTTAATGGTGGAAAGCACAGGAGGGCAATATACAGCCTACAAGAACAGAACGTGCAAGCTTAACAATATAAGTTTATCTTCCTTATGAATTACCTAGGCAGTGCTTTTATTATATGAGATCCATTGTTTCCTGGTCTGCAAATTACTTCCTGAATCTATTAACTACAGCAGGAGAAATGCATTTTTCAGTCCTACTCCCTGGAAAAAGAAAACCCACCACAACATAATAAATCAACAAAAGCAGGTGAGTCTACATCAGCAATAAGGCCAAGTTATTCCAAGTTCGCAATCATTGGCTCCCTATAACACCAAAGGATTTTTTTTGTGTGTGAGGGCGGGAGCACAGAGACGAAAGGATTTAAGTGTAAATTATACAATGGTAGTACAATTCTGAAGCATTACCATGCGTGTGAGGGATTATTAAAGATCAGGTAGGATTTTTCTAGTCTTACTTCAGACACCTCCAGGGAAACGTATTCTG